GAAGGTTCCTGAACAGGCATGTGCTTATTCTGGACCAGGGCAGGCTACAGAAAAAGCTGCCCCAGAATGACCTATGACTAGGCTTTAACTGGTTGAGAACTGGCTGCATTGAAGATCAGGCTTGCCTGGTTCTGCCTGGAGTGTCCCCGCCTGGGAACACCCTGTTGCAGTCCGGTAGTTTTCTGTGCATCATAGATGAGGTCCCTTAGATGCTTTTGTGCAGTGATCTGGTTCCTGCCAAAATGCTGTTCATCTCTCGAAGAAAGGAAGTCAGAATTCTGATTTTCAGGCTTCTAGCAGCCAGAGGACATTTTTCTGGGCTAGCTTTATTCAGTTATTAACTAATACTAGCAATATAGATGAAGAGAGAACAGCAAAATGGTGAAGAAAGAACTTGCACAATCAAGATGAGGCAGATTCTACAGCAAGGAACAAGCCAGATTTTGCTTATAAACTGCTGTCACAAAGCTGCTCAATTCCTGTCAATAATACCAAGGAGGAACAGTGTAATCTCCTCCACCATCACCTGTAGCTGTGAGTGCCTAGAGAAATCCTGAGGGGAAGACAGCTCAGCTGTTGCAATGCAGCCTCGCATTTTCAAGGCTTTATCCATGGGTTAAAAAAGACTTGCTCCGGGCAAGGAGCAAAGATCTCAGCCTGGGAGCAACATAGAGAACAGGATTGTACAATACATTTGTAAAGAAAATCCCCTAGGTCCTGGAATGTGCTGGAGAATAAAAAGAGAAAGGGTACAAGGTCAAGGGATTCTGACAGTTTAAGCATTTTGGGTTTGCAAATAGAGGCGAGGGGCTGGCACGCAAGAAAGTGGAGTGAAAAGAGAAATCTGACTGCTGTTAATGCTGGGAAACTGGCAGCTCCCCTTCTGCAGTTACCTGTTTTCAAAGTATATTGCTCAGGAGTATATCCACAAGAGCACATCAGCATCAATGCCACAGGAGGGCACAGTCTCTCAGAAAATGAGTTTGCAGGAGACCCCATGTTGGCTTGGATTGATACTGCTGCAATATAATGGGCCACATAACTCCTTTAGAAGACTCCCTGCTAGGCAGCTACTAGGGCTGTGTTAAGTGTCTGAGTAAATAGAAGCCTTAAACCCAAAGGACTTTGTACGTAATTAGGCTTTACACAGGTCAGGGAGCTTTTCTGAAGCAGCATCCAAAACAATTTTCCTTTACTGAATTAAATGAATTGGGGATTCTGGATTTCAGCCCCAGGTCTGGGACATTCAGACAAGGATATGAGAGAACCAACAAAGGGGACTACAACATGAAGACTGGACATTGCTCCCTGGCACAGTTTGTTGTGCCCATGGGCCACAGTCAGTCCTTAGTAGGTACAACAGTGCAAAGGAAAAGCAGGAAGGGTGCGATGCTGGGTGGCACCCTGGGCTGAGATTCAGGAGTCTTCGGTTCTGTGCAGCTCCTGTAGAGCTGGCCCTGCATGACTTGCTAAAAATGTGGAGAAGTGCTTAATTCACTTAGTGCCTAACTCCCATTAAATTTCAATGGGAATTTGATACCTAACTGCACAGTATCACAACTGATATCAGATCTCAGCAGGGATTGAGAGAGCAGAGCAAGTGCCTCTGATGTTTGCAATCCTGTTGTTTCACTGCCAGAGCACTGGAGGAGTAAATTTCCCCCAGACAGCCTCCCAGCAGCAGGGAGTGCCAGGGCCACTTATTCAGAAAGAGCCAATAAAAAAACAGATGCAGGAGGAAGGGAATACAGTGCAACAGCTAAGAGGAGACTGAGGAGGGAAGTGTTCCTGGATTTGGCTTGAAGCCAGGCCCCCTTCCTATACACAGTTGGTCTTTTGAAGAGACTCTGTCAGGATGGTGGAGAAGAGTCATTGATTTAAATAGGCTTTGGCTCAGGCCTTGAGTGATCTGAAGAACACCCATAATTTCTCTAGAAGAGACAGAACAGCAGAAATCTTTCTACTTGTATCACTCTGGCATTAACATTAATCACTCCACTTGCCAGAGACACCATCTCCCCACTTCCTGACCATGTAAATGGGCTTTTATTCATCTGCCAATGCTTTATGCTGTTGCAGTAGGAAGTGAATTATGATCAACAATATTTTGTAATTTATGTGCCCAGTAAATTGGAACTTAAATCTGATGCAGCAGGTCAGGGGTTTTAGTGAGATTTTACCGTCAGACAACTCAGATCTGCATGGAGACTGGCGCTTTGCTCAGCATCACTCTGTGAATCGCTGGCTCAGCCTGAGTCAAAGCCCAGGAAACTCCTGGGTCTCCTAGTCTCACCGACTGCATAACGACATGCAAATCAGTCAGTCCCTGCTCTGGTGCAGCGTGTCATTCACATGTAAATGGGACACAGAATGAGTTCAAGGAGCCTTTCCACACGGACAGTTTTATTTAACTTTTGTAGCCAAGAAAAGTAACAGATCCAGCCTTTGCCTTATTCCTAAGTGACTTGCTGGTTGTCGTGACAGGTTTTCATGAAGAAGCAGAGTGCAGGTATTTCAGAGGATTTTCTTTTGAAATAGGAACTCTCTGGTTCATGTTTTCACGAGGTCTTTGATCCTGGGAGGGTTTCCCCCTCTCTGAAGAGTCTGGGAGATTTTCAAGCTATTTCAGTGCTGGCCAAGTTGGTGTCCTCTTGAGCCTTTGCTGCCAAGTGCCATGGAGGATAAAGGAACAGGTCTCTTGCACCAACCATCCTTGTCTCCCTGCATGTCTGAGCATTGCTGTACCTAGTTTCTCAGGCTTGTCAGCCACTCCACTGCTGCCAGCCCAGTCTTCCTGCCCCCATGCCAACTTTGGGCTATTTGTAGTGTCCCACAGCAGCCTCCAGGATACCCAAAGTACTGACATGGCCACTACACTGAAAAAATAAGAAATGGAGAGTGTTAACAGCCATTTGTCCCTTGTACAGCAGCTGTTTGTACAGCAGTAGCTAAGAGACCCAGACAGGAGTGAGGACCACATTGTGCTAGGCACTGTACAGCCTCAGCTTTGTTCTGCTTTCTAATGCCTTCTTGAAAGGAAGGTTCAAGATGGCAAAGGCTCTGCCCACGCTAGGCACAACTGTGCAAATGGAAGGAAGGACGCTGGAATTCACAAACGTTCAGAAGAATAAGGGTAGATAGGGGGGTGGATTTTATGCCAGGTGGGGGTGACATGATCTTGGGGATAGCCATCTTATAAAATCAACATTAGAAGCTGGACCCTTGCAAGCAACTCTCTGCAGAGGGGAATCAGCTCCACGTGTGGAGAGGTGGTGAGAACTTCTGTGGGGCTGGAAGGAAATATGCAGGTTTCCATAACGTGGCTGCAATGTTTAAGTATTGTTTTGGGATGGTTTTTATATAATTCCAGGGACTGGGGGAGAAATATGGGTCTGAGGATAATTGATGTTTCCGTTAAGTGATAGGAGGTGGAGTGGGCAGCAAAAGTATTCTTCCAGTTCAGCTGTACATTGTCTTACTCATAAAATAGGATCAGGAAAGTTTCTCGATTCATTAAACCAGAAGGACAATGGACTGTTACTACGGGGAGAGACAAGAGCAGAGATAAGGTACCTGGGTACCTGTCTGGCATGGGGGCCAAAAGATGAGATGTAATGAAAAGGCTTTGGCTACCGCGCCCAATAGAAACTTTATTACAGTAAAAATCTCCAAGCACAGACTTTTGACATGACTGCCATTATTGACTGTAATTGGTGTGGAAGTGCTCAGCAGTACCAGTCAGGGGGCCTTTTGGAGGGTGAATCACAGAGGACTGCATATACTAGATTTACATGACCCTCAAGTTCCCTTCCACCCCTGGGTTACCATAACCTGGCTGAGCTAGCGACAGCTCAGCAGCTGCCCCTTAGCTGGTTGTGGAGAAGTCCACCTCATGAGGCTGCTTGGTCTAATACAGACACGAAGGATGACCCTGGCCATTCTCCCCCAGCCCCCGTCATCTTATTTCATAGTGCTGAACTGCTCACCTGCTGTAGAGGGCAAGGTCCTTCCTCCACAGATTCTTCCTCTTGCTGCCAGATTTTCTTGACCACTGGTATCTCTGCTGTTTCCAAATCTTGGGTCCCCTCAGAGAGATTCTGCCAGTATCTCAGGCATCTCCCATTCTGGCTCTTCCTCCCTCTGGGTTGTCAGCCTTTGTGGGCTCCTCCCTCTGCCCTGCATACAGTACCTTTGTGCTGCCCTGAAGCCTCTCAAGCCAGAGGTAGATCTTCCATGTTGATCCGGACACACCATTGTTGTCACAGGCCCTGTTTATATTTGGTCAACCTTTATTCCCTTCATCTTCACTTGCCACATTAAACAGTGCCCATATCAGTCAGTCTTTGGGATCACCCAGGCATAAGATAGGGCACTGCAAAAGGCAGAGTTCAACTGGCCCTGAATTTGCAGATCTCTAGATGGATGGACACTAGTGCTTGCATGTTGGCCGTGGGCCAGCCAGCAACAGGCTCCTAAAGCGACCTCTTCTCAGACATGCTAGAGACAGAAGTAGAGTGAATCTGAAGACATTCATTGTTAGGCACATCTACTTCACAGCATGTGCTGCAGTGTTTGAACACTAGCAGCTTCTGGCTAGCTTGGACTCTGTTGCAGCCAGCAGAACATGAGCTAGTGAAGCAGTGGCTGGAATGCTGCAGAATGACCCTGTAGGGATTATTTGCATCATTGGGGGTATTACACCAGCACTTTCCATCTCCATCACCACTGCACTGGCAAAATAACTCAGTGTATACCTTCCACAGTATGTGTGTGTGTGTGTGTGAAAGAGAGAGAGACATTTACACAGGGACCACACAGTATCTAGCATGCAACTTTTGTAGCATTCACCAATATAGGACTTACCCCCCATGCAACCTTCCAACTTCCATGAACTCGCCATGGGAATGGATACTTCTACTAGCTACAGCTCATTCCCAGCTCACATGACTTCTATGCCTACACAGCAAAGCAATAGAGCAGGAGGTAAGAGAAGACTATACCTTCAAGGTGGCCCCCAGCGATCTCAGCCCAGTTGAATGCCGCGCCAGCTTGAGAACCCGGAATATCCTCATGAGACGAAACACCTGCACCACCTTGCCCAGGTTCCCCAGCTCTGAGTCACTGCCCAGGGTCACGTCCACCAGAAGGGTAAAGTAGAAAGGCAGGACAGAGACAATGTCAATCAGGTTCAGAGGGTGCTTGAAGAATTTTCGTGGGTTGGGAGACAGCAGCAAGCGGGAAGACACTTCAAAGGTGAACCAGGAGATGCAGAAATACTCCAGGTTGTGCAGGATGGGGGCATCCAGCACGTTACCGTTCTCATCCACCACCTGGTACTCTGGCATGCTGTGGATGCACATAGTAGCTATGGAGACAAGCACCACACTGATGGACACAAAGCTGAAGAGTTTGCTGGGGATGGAGTAGCCCGGGTTCTCCATGGTAAGCCAAAGGCGCTTCCGCAAGTTGCCACAGCGCAACGTGCTGTAGCGGAGCAAGTCAAGATTGATATCCGATATCTCATCAGGGGAGGTGTCCACACTACTGACCTCGCTTTCCTCATCCCAGTTGTGGTGCCGGCTCTCTAGCTTGCGCTCGTGGTAGCGGTAGCTGCAGCATGAGTCCAGGAAGAACTCATTGATGCCCCAGTACTCTATTTCTTGGCAGAAAGAGAAGACGCAAAGCTCCTCCATGACATGCAGCTTCCCAGTCTGGTAGAAGTGAAGCACATACAGGAAGAAACCTGGGTTCCTATCAAAGTAAAACTCCCTGGCACTCACGTCATAGTCATCGCAGAGCTGCAGGATGGACTCTTCTGAGTCGCAGGACAGCAAGCGCCCCAGGCGGGTGTCAGGAAACTTGGAGAGAGCGCTAGAGCTGAGCCTTCTTCTCAGACCCCCAACATTAATGTTGATGACATCGTCCTCAAAATCAGGATCCCAGTAGTTTAAGGTCTCGCTGACCATGATCAATCGAGCAGGTGCTGGTTTGACCTATAGGCAACACACAGTGCACATGAAGCAAAGAGATATGGTCTCTGTACAGGGATCTTAAGAAATGTTGCCCAGTTAACAATAATGGCCATATACTTCTTTGGTGGCAATGAATGAATATCAATTTACATTTTCAAATGTGAAATTTAAAGAGAAATAAAAACCATGGGTCTGTAGGGTACTTTTGGTTCCATACAATTGGCAAGAAAAGCTTGACAAGGTTTTCAAAAGCCTCTTTTTTAATGTTCAACCGCCTGATCTTCCACAGTTTTGTTGGAAGAGCAGTAAAAAGGTCTAACAAAGGTGTATGCAGCACCTTCACTGAAGGGAACGGTGCATTTCCCATGTCCAAAAGTGTTCATTGGCCACTGACGCTAGATAAGCTCTTGTAACTTCATCAGTTTGTTCATTCTCCCATCAGCAAATTTTGCAGCATCGCACCTGAATTTCTAATTAGAGCTTGCTAAAATTTTTTGACAGTGCAGTTTTCAAACCATAAAATTGTAATTTAGTCAAAATCCAAGTGTTTTGAGGGAAGGTGTTGATTTCAACAAGGTATTTAGTGGAAAAAACTCAAATGTATTTGTCTTTATTATATTTAATCTAAGTTCTAAATCGTTCTATATAACATAGGGTATTATCATATAGAATATATTAATATAGAATAATTAATATAGAATATTATACTATAACAAGTTGACATTATCAGAAAAGGTTTTCACATTTCTATATCAAAGGATTTCAGAATTCCTGTTTGAAAAGATTCAAAATGTTGACCCTTCATATTAACTCAGGACACAAGAGATTCTAGCTGTCAGAATTTTCCATGGGACATACTGTATTCCGGTTTTCTGAAAAGCTCTCTCTCCAATATAAATATAATAGCTAATTAAAGCCTAAACACAAGAATTCTTTTAACCATAAAGAATAGTAAAAATAAAATGCCAACTGCATGTCCAACTTCTTCATTCTGTTTAAGGTCCTTTATCTACCCTACCCTACAAACTGCAGAAATTGTTAATGCAAATATTAAAGTCTACAGAAATAGTCTTAGGTGCAAGTCTACTTGGTCTCTGTTTGTGCATTTGCCCCTGGCTGCAAGCACCTCTGTACATCTTTTAAAATGTTCTGTATGCGTCAGCATTTGTATCCATAAAAGCCACCCATGCAAATAAAATTTAAATGCACAAAATCCAAAACTTGATTTTTTTTTAAGTTCAAATGCAAAGGTTTGCTATTACAAATCGTAGGTGTCTGTGTTTCACACACAGAGACTGAAAGAACACGATTTGTTCTCTCTGCAAACTTCTGTTGTTCCCATATGCTGTAAGCACGGTCACTTAGGGAAGAATATAAAAAGTCCCGAGTCCCACATAGTTCACTGCACAGATGTGACGGGAAGGGGCATTATGTGGGTGCTCAGTTTTGGGAATTAAACTTTCCCTGTGAATAGCTGGTGTCTGAAAAAAAATATTATTTTGTATTGCTCTGCACTGTTCCATTTTAGGCTCTGCCACCAACCTCCAGGAACATCAAATATGAATTACACAACCCTTAAACCCCCCCATATTTTTTCCAATTGTTCTTGTTACTAAACTTTGTGTGGCCTGCAGTTTAGTCCAGTGATTCTCAGCCACGGTGCTGTGGCACCCGGGATTGCCTTGAGATCCTTTCAAAGGTACACAGGGGTAGCATGAAACGCTAGCACTGATAGGTGTGTAAACAGGATTCACAAGATAAACTCAGCAATTTCAAACAGGAATCCAGAGTGTTAAAAACATCCTGAGCTGCCGTGGTCTTTGAGTTCTTTGCAACAGAAAAGCTGCTCAATTATTTTTCAATAGTCAAAAAATGAGTGAAACTAAGAGGCAGCATATTCAGAGGGTCACTTCAAATCTAAAAAGGTTGGGAACCACTGGCTTAGTCCGTCATAATTTACATGTTCCCTGAAAGGTTTCAGTCAGCTAGGTATTTTTTGAAGAATCCCTCTGTTGCCTTGCCATACAGGGAAGTTTTCCAACCTGACTCTCAGAAATACAGACCAGAGGCAAAAACACCACGAAGGCTGAAAGACAAGGGTGTGATGGCACCTAGAGTAAATGCTGCCATGCGACACACTGGTTCAGGCTCCGGGCAAAGACAACTGATTCTCTTAGCGCTGCAGTGATAACACAAGGGACCCCAGTATAGCAATACTTATGGACAAGATATTCCCCCCCCCTTCTCTAAACTTCCTTTCTGAAGTCTCGGTTTAATATCCCAAAACTTGCTGGCTTCGAAGAGAGGCTGCTGATGCTTTGAGGTTCCTGTAAATGCAGCCAGCTTGTCAGTGCCCTGACTTTGTGAAATGTCTTGAACAAGATCAAGTAATATCTGTTAATTATTAATCCTCTCAGTGGGGAATCTGTTCTCAGCTAGAGGGAGAGCAATGGGTTTGCAATTGGCTGTTGCCACATGAGCTCTCCTCATGACATCTTCAGCCACGTTGCGGAGCTTTGCTCACCACCACGTTACACAACAGCATCCCGAGAGCATGTGCTTTTTATAACACTGAGAACTCTACATTTTTCACTTTCTAATGGGTTCATCGATCACTGGGCAAGACACCAAGGCAGGGAAAGGCTCTTTGTGGCTCCCACCACTTTCTGAGATGTTAACAAGAATGTTCTGCCAGACAGGAAGGGATTGCTGTTGAAAATCTGGGACCAAGCACGAAACCTGCAACTTTTGCTGGGGAAGGAGAAGTAACTTAGCAGCCGCCAACTGAGACAGACACCTGCAAGGACCTAGAGATGGGGCACTTCCAATTATACAGAATAAAGTATTGTGGCACGCTGAAAACCGAGCAGGCTAGGAGAGAGACTAATGCCAGCTAAACAGCAGTCTGGCGAAGGCATTCGTTAACTCTGCTGCCTCTCTGGGTTATAGCTCCTTAAAAAACCATGCTCATCAACGCATAAAGCAAGTGCTAGCATTTCACCATGCCTGGCAGAAGCAGCCGTCTGTGAGAGGCCTCACAGTGTAATTGCATCACTGTCTTCACTTAAAAAAATTAACCATTTTTAGAGCACGCTAGGCACGGGGGTGGGAAGGAGGAAACACTGCTTTTAAGGGAGAAGCTGGAATTTCCATGACCTATAATCTTCTCCGTGCAAGACTTCCACACAGTTCATCTGTGAGGATCAGATGACTAATTCAGTTCTTTCCAGAAGGATGCTTATGAATTCAAGCTACAAACACAGGGGGTTGTCGGTGGAAAAGAGACATACCCTATTAGCATGCCTGAGCATCTACACCAGCTGCATGCAACAACAGCCTTGGGGGACCAACCCAAAGGTTGCCAAAATCAATGGAAAACATCACTGACTTCAAGGCAGTTTCAGTCAAGCTCGTTTCTGCACAGACAACTTGTACTGATGCAGAGACTCAGAGACAGTACCTATAACGCTGGAGAACTGTGGCCCTTCTTAACTCCCTTTAGTGGCAATAGCATTAACAGTGCTGAAATGCATACATCTCCCTTAAAATCACAAAAGAGGTGGATCCAACCTGTTTCCCAACTTGCAGAGGGACAGGGGAGGGCTGTTTGGCCCATCACAAGCCTTTGTGTTACAGAGAAAAATCCTCAGAAAAAGAGGGAGCGGGTGGGAGGGAGAAACGCTGTGAAGAAGCTGAGATAGGAGACGTGCAAGAGAAGACACTAATGGAGGATCTTGTTTCTGTTCACATTTAACTGTTATCTAGAAAGCCAACAGTAATTAGTGCTTTGATGGCGCTTCCCTGGGCATTGTCATTGCATTTCTTCGGCAGGCGCCTCAGCAACGACCGCCGTCGTGTTCAGGG